GGCCCCTCCTGGGAGCTGCCGGAGCGGGCTCTGCCCCCAGCCCCAGCCTGACCAGCTGGCCGCTCGCTACGGCCACAACACCTTGCCATGCGACTGACGTTGCGTTGCTGCAGTTCGTAGCAGGCTCCTGGTGTTACACCAAGCTACTCTTGTTGCTAGAGAACTGCAAGTAATTTCTCATTACTTCCTTAACATCCATTTTAGGTTCACAAAAGCAGGAAGAACCTACTTAGAGAAGAGGCAGGATTGCCCTTTTTAGTGTATTCCTGCAGGGTGGTGTCTGACTACCGAGGAGGCTTCTGCATTGCAGCAATCCCAAGCAGCCCGTTTCTGGGAACGGTTAACGTACCCTGTGGTTAGATGTGACCTGTGTAACGGGGTGAGGGACTCCGGTGTCCTCTGGCACGGCTTTCTCTGCTGGACTCAGGGAATGCATAGTCATATCCTGCCAGGACTGTTCTGCTGCTTGTGGAATCCCTTCTTACCAGGAAAAATGGTATTTGTGCAGTAATTGGTAAGCTGTCCTGTCCTAGGTGTTGCAAGGCTTGGATTTTCCATCCCGCAACTTCCACACCACTCCACTGCATGGAGAACTGGTTTGATGACAGCTGGTTAGCTGTTTGAGTAATGGCTAAGTGCTGGCGTTTGTCGAAATTTGGGTGTTCTCATGAGTAACCTCGTGGCTTCCTGCTCGTGGTGGTGGTGGTGAGGTTGGATGAGATGATCTCGTTCTCATCTCCTTCATTAAGAATTAATGTTGAAAGACTCAGTCGCTCTCCTAGGCAGCCATGTCGCTCTGGCGGGATTTCCTTCCCTGTGTCCTTAGATATGAATATGATGTTTGTGTAGCAAGAGGGTTCATCAACAAATGTTTGAATGCCATTTTCAAAACATTTTGGGAAACAACTTCTGTTCCTTTAGGGTAGGACGGAGCAGTCGCTACCTTTCTGTCTTGTCCTGGTGACGGCTGTGTGGCACAAAGCGAATACGCTCAGAGGTACCGAACTGCTGTGAGATGAATGTGATAGTGAACAGGAGAAAAATCTCACTCACCAAAGTCGTCTCCTTGCCCTTCACCCAGCGGGTGCTGCCTCGGTCGCAGGCGCTGTGACCCGCTGGCTTGGCACGTCTCTCG